ATGCTATTGTCTCAGCAGCAACAGCAGGAAGTTGCTCTCCAGCAGGTACAGAATCAGATGCAGCTTAGGTAGCAGGCACAAGTGCAGCTCCTAATATGTATAAATGAGTCCTAATATGTATAAATAAGTCTAACATGTATTTGAGACGTTCTTGTGCGAAATCGAGGTCAAAGCTGTAGAAAACAGCACAACAGGAGCTATCGAATAATTACGCATTACGAAAATTGCATGTGCAATGGGTAAAAGAAAAATAAACAACGGAATATCATCTTATTATAAACTCCAGTCTCAAATGCATAACAGCAAAATTTTACGTCATTACATGCTGATTCTTCACTCCAAAGAGAGGCCAACCTGGATATGAGTATTGTACACTTTTCACTCTTGTTATTTGTATTTTAGACTTTCACATCAATACATCTCTCAGGATAATACAAAGGCAATTTTCTACAATCGTCTGCTTGGGCAAGGCACAAGCCTGCTGCTCATGTTTAAGAACAAGGGCGGACTAGTGCCGTAAAATCTGCAAACATAAGCATTGGCACTCTTGAGGACATCTGATCGTATCAAATTATGCTCTTCCTCTCAAGAGTGATTAATAGTGTCAGGTCAAGATGCTGCTGGCTCTCTGGAAAATCTTCGATCCGGATAAAATTTCTGAGGATCTAACATGTGGCTAAAATACAGTGCTTAAGGGAGTAGAAGATGAGTGTCTAAGATAGATCCTGAGAGGAAAGGCACTTGAGCTAAAGTTGGAAGCGAGATGTGGACGTTTTTGGCCGCCAAGTATGCAACAATCCCAGCAGCATAGCCAGCGAATGCAAAGCCACTTACCTACAAGTAAATACATAAGTAGCTTTAGAAATTCATTAAAGCAGTAAAAGTGTTATTGTAATCTTGTTTCGGTATTTCTTGGATAATTTTTAGGTACATGAAGCAGGAAAATAGTGAGTGACCAGAGGCATTTAAAAATTAGAAAGGTTTAACCAGGAGATGTTGGCAAAGTTATCCTTGCAATCAACGCAATGCAAGTATGGACCATTTATTCCTTGTAGGCTACAAGACCCAAAAGGAGGCAAGGAAGAAATATTTGCTAATCAATATAAGACTAAGAAGGATGACTTCAACTTGGCACGAAAACCTATTATTTGTGTCCTTCAAATAACACATCAAGAAAACATTTGTCAATAATGCATTACATTACGAGCAAACTGTCACCAGCTTCAAGAAAAGAGTAATCCTTTGGTTATCTCAACAACTAACTGCAAATTTTCAAAGGGAAAAATTTGATGATTTAATAAGACATGCATAAAAAAGACAGCACAATGAAGAGACTCAGGACCAACAAGTGAGAACGAATAGAAGATTGCTTTTTTTTTTACCTTGCGAAGATACCAAAAGAAATCGACCTTCTCCATTCCCATAAATGCAACTCCAGCTGCAGAGCCAATGATGAGCATAGAACCTCCAGTACCAGCACAAAAAGCAACGAGCTGCCAAAACTCAGAATCTCGAGGAAAAGAAGTCAGGTCGTACATTCCCATTGTTGCTGCAACCAGCGGAACATTGTCTATAATTGCTGATGTTACACCAATTGCACTTGCAATCAACTCAATATTTGGGATGTGGGTATCAAGGTAATTTGCCAATTCCCTC